TATCGACGGGCTTAACACACATGACGCCTCCTTTGTGTATGCGGTTGCAGGAGGGGTTACGACCGTGCAGGTTCTGCCCGACAGTGGGCACAATGCAATCGGTACGTCGAACCTCTGACTTCATCTCCAACCTTGGAACGCTCACTTTGCACTTGCTTTGACAGGCGGCCAGGCGTTCATGATCAAGCTTCGCAAAACTTCCCAGCGCACACCGACCTCCATGATCATCGAGCCTCCATACCAGTTGAACGGCACCCGGCCAGACCCATACGCGCCTCGCTGGCGCCACCTCATGTACGTCCTAGCCCCTTTCCTGCGTCCTCCCCTCTTCCTTTTTGTGAAAGTATCCGGATGGTATGTTTGACCGGTGCGCTGTGGACACAGGATGGCATGCGGCGAGAGCACTAGGGCGTACGGCAACCGCATGGACAACATATGGGCGCTTCGCGCTGCGTTCGCTATGGCGCGCGGGTTCCGCGACGCACAGGATGCGTTCTGTGCGCGCGCAGAGGCGGGGTTGTGGGACGGAGACGGGTCGGTTGCGCAGCAGGCGTACCCGGAGGACTACAGGTGGGAGGTGCTCGTAGATGTACTTCGTGGCAAAGCTAAGGTCAGTACACGATGAACTCCCAACAGTCTCTTGCTGACCATAGCTGGATTGGTCTCTGCGCGTAGGTGTCGGTGCAATGCGAAGAAGCCGTTGATCTGGATGCCATGGTTAGGGTACGCACTCTGCAGGTCCATCATCCTAGAGTAGGAGGTTAAGGTCTAGCACGGTAGCTCTCGCAAGAGTTCAAGATCCCGATCGCGTCGTTGCAAGGAGCGCATGAAGCCTATTTTGTTCCTGGGTTGCTGAAGGGCAGGTGTGTTATCCCACCACAGTCAAGATGGAACTCATACTAATAATCAGATAGTTACGGGGTTGTCCCAACCATCGGCCTTTCGGCGGACAGCTCCCGGTTCAAGCGCGAGACGTTCCGTGGTTCGGAATTCGCTCCGCGCGTCCTGGCGGAAAACGGGTTCCCTATCGCAATTAAGGCGAGCATGAACGACCGACACGGTGGAGCGTGATACTTACTGCCACACGTAGTCGGATCCCAACTCGCACAACAGTAGGTATCTGGTTTTTGAGGCCCAACAAGCACATTACTATGGTATGCCCCTACATCAACGGATGTTTAGCTAGGTTAGTTGGCTAAGTTTACATAGGCCTTCCACCGAACATGGCTCTCACGTCCGTGACGTCTATCCCCGCAACGGCGGCCGGGCTATCACATCGTATCGGAATTCTTCGCGAAGGGGCGGACGCCGATCTCGTACTCTGGGACTCGCACCCTCTCCAGCTCGGTGCTACTCCACGCAAAGTGTGGATCGACGGCATCTTGCAGTTCGACGCTGACCGGAACTACATTCCCGTCGGAAAGGCGAAAAACTCGACCACTCGCCGCGAGCCACCCAAAGTCCCGAACTTTGATGTGGAGAAGGAAAAGGCTGTGAGGTACGAAGGGTTGCTGCCCCTCCGGCCAAACATGACAGTGGGCGGGCGTGTCGCATTCCGCAACGTCCAGGAGCTGTATACGCGTGATGAGAGGGATTACCTGAACTTCGGGCTGGACGTGCGTGAGGGCATGATGGACGTCATCGTGGAGCGCGGACGGGTCACTTGCGTTGGGAGGGTGTGCGACGTCGAGAACGCAGATGCCGTGGTCGATCTCCGTGGTGGCGCCATCGTTCCGGGACTGATGAGCTTTGGTCCCTCTCTTGGGATCGAGGAGATGGAGAACGAGCCGTCGACGGGCGATGGGGCAAGGTATAATTCACTCAAGGGGGACGTGCCCATCGTCCTCGGTGATGTCGGCGGACTCGTGAGGGTTAGCGATGCGCTTCAATTTGGCACCAGGAACGCCTTGTAAGTGTTCTCTGCCTCGTTCACCACTCATCGTGCTGCGCCAGGTTGCTCATTGTGACATACAGGGTGGCCCACCGTGCAGGTGTGACCTACGCAACAACGAGTTTCCTCCGCCCTGCTGCGTTCTCTCGGGGCAGTTTCATTGGAGGCCTCTCAGCAACATTCCGCACTGGTGCAAGCAACGGGATGGAGCGCGCAGCCATCATTAAACCAGTAACGGCCTTGCATGTCGCCATTGGTCGACCGTTCCCGATGTCTTCGTCGCCTTCCGGAACGAGCGTGAGCACTGAGATCGCTGTGCTCCGTCGCTTGTTGCTCCACGGTGAGAGCGAGGATACGGAGACGGGTGGATGGTTCAAGAAGGCTGCGAGTGTGAGCGACACATGTTCCAGTGCTAGTGTTCATGGGCTGAGCTAACAATGTCTGCCACAGGGAATCATCCCGCTGGTGATCGATGTTTCGAGCGCAGACATCATGGCCACGCTTATTCGACTGAAAGACGAGGTCGAGGAGAGACGCGGGTCATATATGCGGATGGTGTTCTCGCGCGCGACGGAGGCGCATCTACTCGCGGATGAAATCGGTATGTCGCTACCATCCCGATAAATTCCAGTACAGGAAGTTCTCATGATACCTTGCAGCTCACTCCCGAATCGGTGTTATCTTGAGCCCGCCGAGGCAGTTCCCCTGGTCATGGGATGAACGTCGAGTGTATGTCCCCGTCTTCATCTTCCGCCTCTTGCCTTCCGTCGCAACTCACAACCACATGTAGTATTCCAGGAGCTCCTCTTACAAATGGTTCTGCTTTGACTACACTGCTACAGCACGGTGTCACTGTTGGTTTGGGCACTTGGGACGCCACTCATGTCCAAGGGACCCGCTTTGACTTGGGATGGGTACGTCTGCTCTAATTCTGCACTACCTACTCCCATTGACAACGTCGTGTGTGTGCAGGCGGTGTTGGACTCTAACGATCTGCTTAGCAAGAAGCAAGCGTATGAGCTGATGACGACCAACCTCGAGAAGATACTCGACATAGAGGGATATGTCGGAGACATGGGCGAGCTTGTGGCGTACGAAGGGGGGAGTGCTCTGGAGTTCACGAGCAAACCTGTTGCGATCGTCTCTCCTGCACGGGGCTTCGTGGAGATCGTGTAAGGTATACTTGGGAGAGGAGTGGTACGATGTTGTGAGATGCGATTTGGGGCTTACATTATCCTAGTCCTCCTATGTATCCGCCGGCGCGAGCCGCGATAGTAACCTACACATATCCATGCGATACATCGATACAGAACGAGTACAGCAACTGCTTGAGAGGCTGGGCTACAACCTTGGTTTCTTCAGGCGAGCCTCCGCCATTTCTTCAAGGATCTTCCTCTTGTCCTTCCTAGGCGACTCGGAGTAGGAGCGGGAAGGTTGTCCGGTCGATGTCGACGCTTCGGGAGGTGGCGTGCTCTCTCTCGCAATTTGCCCCTCGGTGTGATCTCTTCAGACAGGAAGATGAGCTATGTGAGAACACAAGCAGCCGTGATCCTTACGTGTTACTACTATCAACCCCTGGGGCAGGTGATGCTGAGGGGGTCGTGACCACTGCTGTTCGTTTGCGCAATCGTGAAGGTGTCTGAGAGCTGGCTGCCGGTTCCTCTGGCTCAGGAGAGGTCGGGAGAGGGTCAGTGGTCGCAGCCTCAGCATCTGAGGCCGTTGTACTGCCAAGAGTGAATCAGATCATATACCACTTCACTATCATAAATCGAAGGCCCTTATGAACTCACCTCTCCTCGTTCTCTCCGTCGTCGATGAACTCTTCTTCCGCCTCTTCCTCGCTGGTGTCTTCTTCCCTCCGCACGTCAATCTTGGCCCACCTAGTAGCCACGGCCAGCAACGCGTCCCAGCGTTCAGTTGCGGTTCTCTCGACAACTTCTAGTTCATCTCGAGGTGCAACTGTGCGGCATTCGGGGCAGCTGACAGAGTCAACCTCGTCGGCGTAGCCTTCTGCTTCTGCTTCTGGTTTGAGTTTCGCAGCGCAAGTTTCGCAGACCATATGCTGACAAGGAAAGCTACATGGTAAAGTGCATCAGTGCTGGCATAGTAGTATGCAGATGACTATATGTACCTCTTGCAATGCTTGGGCTCGAGTTTCTCGAAGCATATGGGACAGTCCTCACCACTATCTCCTAGCGCGTTCGACGCCATGAGGTCACCGAAATCTCGTAGCAGCTGCGTGGTGAATTGTGCAATAGGTCATCACCACCTTGTCATAGCTGCAGGCCGAGAAAGGATGCACTAACCGTGCGCATCTTATACGCAGAGTCACCAACCTCGAACTCCGCGTCGTCCATCAACTCGTCCACATCCGTCTTGGCTTCTCTCATAGTCATCTGCATAACGGACTTGTATGAGACCCATTCGCATACACATCACTTGTAGTAGGCTCCAACCTCATGTAACTTCCTCCTATACTTGTCCTTGGACTACCATGGCAGAACACTACGTGAGAGAGCAATCCATGAATTCGTGACTCATGGCATGCAACCTACCTTCTCTAGCTTTCGGACCCGATCCTGTAGCAGGTGAACTTCACCCTGAAGATTAGACACACTCGCGGCTGCTCTACGGCTTCTTCTGGGCTGTACCGTGGTGTCATCCGCTTGCTGCACTTTCTCCAACTTCGTTTCCAGAGCCTTGACTTTCTTGCGTAGGGCTTCAGTCTCCTGTTCAAGAGACTTAGCGCCCCTTGTAGCCCGTTTGAGTAAATCCTGGTCCGAAGAGGGATGGCTCAGTTCTCTCAGCGCAGGCATGCAATCCCCTGGGCTTACCTGTAGTGTGCTGTGCGGTCCGGGCTCTTCTACTACCTCGTCACGTTGCAGGCCTGGATCATCAGCATGAGATGAGTCGTTATGGCGGGCTGAGCTTCGCGTGCTTGGTGCCATGAAGCGACCGGACTACAGTAATACCTCTTCGCCCTGGGACGTCTCACTTGCGGTGGTTGCAATTGAGAACCACGGTTTAGACGCTGCCTCTCGTGGGATATCAGTATGTTACTTACAGCGACTCGTATCAGCGAACTAAAAATAACGCATGCAAGTTGAAGTGTCCCGGGCAGGAGTCGAGCCTGCGTCTTCACGGATTTGTGCTACCACAACGTGATGATCTAACCACTAATCGACAGAGACCAAGCTCTTTTCGCTCAGTTGACAATATGTAGTAGGTAATGCTTGGGGCGCCGCTCAACCGGGCCCAGACAGGGCCTTGGCAAACACAGAATCCATGACATGATCGTGTTCAGCCTGGTTCAGCGCACATTCCTCTCGAAATCTACGTAACTCATTTGGAATCGCTGTCACCGTTTTGTTTCTGAGTTCTGATTGATCACCTTCGATCCTTGAAATAGTACAGACCGACGTTGATGAGCGCGATATCCTCCATAAACATAACCATCCTCGGCAGCGCATCCGCTCAGCCATCGTCAACACGCAACCACTCGTCTTTAGCGTTGCGACTGGGCGGAGATGTCTGGCTCTTCGATTGCGGCGAGGCGACACAACACCGGATCCAGCAAAGCTCCGTCAAGATGGGGAAGGTTCACAAAATCTTCATCACCCATACGCACGGTCAGTGGATTGCATAGCTCGTCCGGTACGAGCCAAAATGGACCGTCGATGTCGGCCTGATCTGTTCCAGGCGATCATATCTTTGGACTGCTCCCGGTCCTCGCGATGCGCCTGAACGGTGCCGGAGGCACGGTCGACGTCGAGGACCCGCGTGCCACAGCAGGCCTTCCGGAGGACACGCTGGTGCGTTCAACTCTCTTCCTTCTGTGTCCAATACACTCAAAGCACCCCTAACTGATCTCGCACATGTGTTCCACACCATATGCATGGCGGAATCGTGCATGTTCCAGCCGTTGGAGATATACGGCCCCTTAGGCACACGTGCATACGTCCGCAACGGGCTCACATACACGCACACCCTCCTCGGCGCACCCTACGTCGTGCACGAGCTGCGGTTCCCAACAGACCCGTCCGACGGCGATTACACTGCGCTCGCGCCGCACCCCATGGAACGCCCCGGGCGCAACATAGCGCAGACGGATGGAGTGTGGCCAGACATATTCATGGACACGCTCCTCACCGTGTCTGCAGCGCCGATCCTGCATTCCGTACCCTGCGTCGGATATGTCGTGCAGGAGCTCCCGATCCCAGGGAAAATGGATCCGAGGAAGTATATCCCCGAACTGAAACGAACAAAGGCGCCGATGTCCCTCATGAGCCGTCTGCAGCAGGGCGAGTCGGTCACGCTCCCAGACGGGACGGTCTTGTGTGGTCCTGGGCGGAGGCCTGGGCGGAAGATCGTCATCCTGGGCGACACGTACGACCCGTCTCCCATCGCGCAACTCGCCGAGGACGCGTGTTTGCTCATCCACGAGGCGACCAACGCGCATCTGCCTGGCGTGGATCCGGACACGAAAGAGACGGACACGTACGAGGTCGTCGAGGCTCGTGCAAGGTCGAGGGGGCACTCGACGCCACAGATGGCTGGAGCGTTTGCAAAGAGGATACGGGCAAGGAAGCTTGTGCTAAATCACTTCTCTGCGAGGTATGCGGGAGACGACGACGTGAACGACGAAACGAGGCGCGTGATGACTGCGATACGAGAGCTTGCGGAGGGCACGTATGGTGGGGAGGTGGTTTGCGCGCGGGACTTGATGAGCTTCGATGTCGGACCACGAAAGGACCTGCAGGAAGGATAGCGATACAGAGCGTGCAAGGGTATGTACAGTAGATGCAGGAAATGACCGCCTTCGTATACATCAGTCATCTGGAGGCTCGGAAAGTTCACTACTCTCATCGCTGGCCTCCCCCTCCTCCAGTTCTTCTCGTACCTTCTTCTTCGACCACAGATCCTGCGAGTCCTCTCCAATCTCGCCCATCTCAATATCGTCCTCGTCTGTTACGGTCGTCGTGGGTAGCGTGGGGGTGCCTCTCGCCACAGGCATCATAGGTGTGTTATTTCTGGTGTTCGGGACGAACGTCCGGGCGGTCGGACTAAGAATGGCCTTCGCAAGTGGGATTTCATCCTCGGAGTCGTGCGCATCTTCCGCCGACTTCGCGCTTCCTGTAGGATGCCGCGATGATTCTCCCTCGTCCCGGAGCTCGCCTGACTCTTCCCGCGTCCGTACGCTCGCACTTCCGTCCATCTCGACATCCTCGTCTCCAGGTTGCGTATCCGGCGCGGGAGTAGACTCTTCTGCCGCATCCTGTTTTCCCATGAGTCTCAATAAGCCGATATCGTTTAGAACGGCATCGAGCGCAGCCTTCTGGGCCTGAAGGGTGCGGTTCTGATCCTCGTGCTCGGCCCGGATTGCAGCCATGTCGTTCTCGAGCGACTGTATCGACCTGGGGGTAATGGGGTAGAGGGGTTGGCGGCGAGTAGCAGCGTGTATGCGGCGCGGTAACTCACTGCTCTAACTCGTCTCTGTTCGGTAAGGTGTTGACCTTCTCGGCGATCACGTCGTATTCAATCTTCTGCTTGCGCTCGAGCTGCGCTTGCTCTAGCGTCGTTTTGAGGCCCTCGATCTGGTCCTTGAGCCGGCTGTGTTCGTTTGCTGGTCACACGACCGCTTGAGAACGAGGGTATACGTGGGGCGAGGGAACGTACCTATGCGTTCTCGTTCCCGCTGGTACTCCTCCACCTGCCGCGCCTCCGCCTCGCACACCATCAAGCTCTTCTTGAGGGAGAGCTGGAACGACGCAAGCTCAAGGAGAAAAGCCTCGCGCGCATCGTCGACGGACGAGGATGTCAAGGGCGACAATGGGACGGCAGGGGTGTACGCGACGGATGCATACGAGTGGAACTTTTTGGTCACACGGCGGAGCGCCTTCTCGTCGTTTGTAATGCGTGTGTGGATGATAGCATCTGGCGGGTGGAACGAACATACGCATGAGTACGTGCAGGCCGTGAATTGCATGCTGCGCACCTTCCTGCTGCACGGACAACGGAGGGGGTACATACTCCTTCTGTTCTCGCGCAACGCCTTCCATCGCGCACAGATATAGTTTCTGAGTCGTCCAGTTGACAAAGGAGCGGAGGACAGCCAGGCAAGTTGAAGCAGAGCCACGGACAAGACAGTCGACCAGCAGTCGACGCCACTGCACGGAAACAGGCGCTCCAGATGCGTGACTGTAGAGTGACACGCTCACGTGCCCAAGAAGGAAGTGTGATGGAACTTGGAGAAGCAGCGAACGCCGAACCGAGCCAGTAACGGCAAGCACGTTCGTGCAAACTTGCCAACTTGGGAGCTTGTATTCCTAGTCCTTCCGCCTAAATAATAGTCATAATCATCAGTCGCTCTCTTGGCCTTCGATTTCGCACACACCCCTCATCCCCACCATGTCCACCCAGCCACTCCTCCAACGCACCGCTGCGAAACGCATCGCCCTCCCCGTCAAGGTTGAGCCCAAGGTCGCGTTCGCCAACGAGCGCACCTTCCTCTCATGGCTGCACTTCACCGTTGTGCTTGGAGGCTTGGCAGTTGGACTTCTGAACTTCGGGGACAAGGTTCGCATCCCCCTCGTTTGCCTAAACAGCGTTGCATTCATGTGCTCTATGTAGGTCGGCAGAATAAGTGCGGCGATGTTCTCTTTTGTCGGTGAGTAGCGTCGTGTTCGCTTGGTCGTGTGACACCTTCGATATAGGCTCAATGCATGCCTATCTATCCTTCGTAGCCATGGCTGTTATGGTCTATGCTCTGTACACCTTCCACTGGCGCGCCTGGTCAATTCGCCGTGGTGGTCGTGGGCCGTACGACGACAGAGTCGGTCCAGTGAGTACCCGTACACTTTGAATTCTATTCACACCCTCATCAAATATTCTCAGACAATTTTATGCGGTGCTCTTATTGGTAAGTGTAGGGTATTGTCTCTTACAACTCGCTCTCACTCCGTTGTAGTCGCCATTGTGGTGAACTTTGTTCTCCGATTCACGTCCAATCCGAACCCCTGAGCATCCCCCTCACGCCGAACTTATTGTCCACAAGCTATAGGCCGTGGCTAATGAAAGAAGCTATGCCCGAGGAACGGAAGCGACTAGGTTGCAGCGGGGATTGACAGCACGGACAGCACATGTTACTCACTTGCGCCTTTTACCACATTATATCCGCCCCTTTCCATGTCTCGCATCATTCATCATGTGTACACCGGTGATAGGCACAAACGGGACGATGATGTCGCCAGCCGGGAGCCTGAGCTTGTCGCAAACGGCAGCAGCGTTCCTTCGAGAGGAAACCGCGGAGAGCATACAGATAAGAGCAATACGATGGCTGTATAATGAGCGCACATTGTCTACTTCTGCACGCCGGTGAAGATCGGGTTCTTGACCTCATGAATCGGTGTTTTGCCCTCTGCCGTCCCAGGAATAGTCTTAACGAGGCCCTATGCACCAAAAGGTGGGTCAACACGTAGCACACCGCAGGCTCCATGAAGGTCACTTACCAGCTTCTCGAACACGCACTTGTTGAGTACACGCTCGTCCTTTCTGCAGTGGTAGTATTCCTGTAAGAAGTGTCGTGAGTCATTCAGTGCAAATCTGCGCCACGCCCATACCTCGATAGATGCGAGTGTGAAATCCCTGATACGGTATTGAGGGGACTCACCTGGTTGTTGTACTCTAGGCAGTTCCAGTGTTTCTCAAACTCTGCAAGGCAGTTCTCACGCAGTTTGGTAATCCTAGGAAGAGAGAAAGGTCAAGGTGCCATATCAATAACCAGAACAAGAATGGACGTGTAAGAAAGACGTACAGATCCTGCGCACAGCGCGTCACTCGCCGGCCCTCCTTCAGACAGTGTGCCGGGTCCCGGTTCTCCGCCTTGCAGAGCATGAAGTCCTCTGTATGCCCACGGATGTGCGCAGTCCAAATGGCGCGTCAGCTCATGATCTCCTCCCGTCCAGCACCACTGCAGCTCCTTCCAACACCACGCATACGTGTTCTCATCCGCCCTGACCATCCACCACTTCTCGCCCATGTCGCCCAGAGATAGTATACACAGACACGGACACGCACCATTGTAATCTTTGCAGTACGCCCCGAGGAAGAAGGCTGCGCTCTTCAATGGCGCGCTCGTCGCGCCGAGCTCCTTAACCTTAGGGATGTCCGCCGGGAGCGGCGTGGGGTCCTT